TATCGTAAATACCTCCTGCGCTCATATGTTGCAACTTCATCAACCTAAGGCACAGATGATCTCAAGAAAAGCCCCGTGACTGCTTACTGATTCATGCAACACAGTAAAAGAAAAATCCTTGCAGTCTGCCAGGAAACAAATTAAAAGCCCAACAATTTAATTTCAGATTTTGCTAAGACTTCTTATGTGACATGATTAATGCCTAAAGGAGAACAGGGTAGTGTAGAGAGGGTGACCTGGAAAGTCCTCACGCAGTCGGCAATGCTCGAGCTGAGAATCCAGTCACAAGAAGAAAGCGGTATTTGAAGCTATGGTGAAGCATGTACAGCCCATGGGGAGCAGTAGCCACCAAGGTCCTCGCTGCACCAGCTTCTGCAAGTTTGAGGAACAGTAGGAGAAGGCCGGGGAGTGGGGAAGAGGTGAGTGTTGAGGTCAGAGAGGCAACTAAGGGCCGACCGGTACGTTCCCTTCATTAGCAGAATCTACCAATTCTGACAACAATTCAGACTTATTCTAGAATTCCACAATAAGTAAGAGAGAAGAGGGTTTATGAGGACCGTGTGGGGCTGCTATGAATGGGCCATCTCAGTCTTTACCTGTGCAGACTCACCCCGATACCGGCACCAAAGCAACTTGCTTTGCAGGCAAAGTTCCCATCTTAATCATAACCAAGAATGGCAGAAACTTGGGGTTCTTATTCTTCATTAGCTTTTGTGCCTAGATAATCCTTGACTGTCTAAGCTTGGTACACATATTATATCCCTGAGATGAACGCATTTGAGCTTCTTCTTGGCTCGTGATCTAAAGTCTTGCTTCTCCATTTCCTCCAGTCGTCGACATTGGCTTGACTTCTGAAGTGGCACTGAAGTCTTTGTCCTGAACTCTGGTCCCTTTGGAGATGTCCCTAGTTAGTAACTTTTTCTGGAACCTAGCCTTTGCTCTTGTCTCCCTAACTACTGGTTGAGTGCTCTAACTGGAAATAAACCCACCTAACTATGAATCACACCTGTGCTTTATAGGATTTTTTTTTTTTTTAAGCGAAGGTCACCTCTTCTGCAAAACAGGCTTCAGTATAATTAAATTTGTTCTGTTTGAAGGGCTGTTCTGGAAGTAAATCTTTATCTGTTCAGCCTTTCTTGGTAGCTTAGAAGCCCTGGTGATTGCATAACTATCCACACTTTTGTGGAAATAATAAAATAAGCTGTATTGAGATTGACTAATGTTGTTCTTTTTTTTCTTGAGAACAGTGGCCAGATGCCATGCACTGCATCTAAACATCTATTGGGATTTTGGAAACATGTGACTAGCATGCAGAAATACGTAAGCCACAAAACTGGGCAGCTACCCTTAGGCACTCTATTATTCTGGCTGCACAGATTCATTCTTCCCCCCAAACAAGCACTCACAGAAATACTCATCTGAATAATGGCAATTCTTCAACGCTTTTTTATTTTTAATAATTTTTTTTTGAGACAGAATCTCACTACATTGCCTTCTGTAGAGAGCTGTGGTGTCATAGCTCACAGCAACTTCCAACTCCTGAGCTCAAGTGGTCCTCTTCTCTCAGTCTCTCAAGTAGCTGGGACTATAGGCACTTTCCCGAACACCCAGCTGGTTTTTAGAGGCTAGTCTCACTCTTGCTCAGACTGGTCTCAAACTCCTGAGCTCAAGCAAGTCACCAGTCTTGGCCTCCCAGAGTGCTAGGATTACAGGTGTAAACCACTGTGCCTGGCCTTCAACCTCATTTAGATAATCCCTGTTGCCACTGAAATAAATATAAGACTTGGGATATGTAACTTCTTTTATTTGTGTACTTTTCTTAACAAAATAGTAGCTTTCCCTTTAAATAACATTTTTTTGGTAGGAAGGAGGTTTCTGATGTCTGTCTGGTGTCTAACAATGTATGTCTTTCATTTTCTCCAAAATGAGGAACTGAGATCTGAAATAATGTTCTTCATTTCCAATAATACACATATACCACAGATACAATGAGTGCATATTCATTGCCTCATTTGGATAATTTTCAGATCTCTCATTTGGTTTTGTTATCAGTATGGCACTGTGGTCCTTCACCCACCACTGTCAGACTTTCATTTTATCTGAAATCAGCGTGGCTGGAATTTATCTCTTTCTGTAATAATAGCTGTTATGACTTGGAGGATTTTTAGGACACTGTGATAAAGTCATCCTTAAGCTTTTTATATGCTGATAAGTCTTTTTGATATTGTAAATTGGGCTTTTGTTCCTAGCAGTCATGACTACAGTAGACAGAATAACAGCTCTCCCAAAGATGTCTGTATTCTGATCCTAGAACCGGTGAGTATGCTACTTTGTAGGGCAAAGGGGATTTTACAAATGTGATTAAGGTCAAGAACGGTAAGATAAGAAGATCATTCTATTATGCAGGAAGGCCTAATATAATCACATGAGTCCTTAGAAACATGGAACCTTTCCTGCTGTGGTGAGAAAGAGAGGTGATCATAGCAGGGTCAGACGTGCCCTAATGCCGTCTTTAAAGATGGAGGGAAGGCCCACAAGCCAAGGAATGTGAGTGGCTGCTAGCAGCTGGAAAAGACAAGGAAATGGATTCTTACCTAGTGTCTCTAGAAAGGAATGTATTCCTGCTGACGTCTGATTGTAGCCCAGTAAAACCTGAGTCAGATGTAGTTTTATAAATTATTAAAAAATTAATTTTTTAAATTGACAAAATTATATATATTTATCATGTATAATATGATGTTTTGAAAATATGTATATATTGTGAAATG